TCTGAAACCACTGGACATTGGAATGGGTGACGAAGAAGAAGAGGATTTGAAACTCAGTGCTGCCACTGAAGCAGCAATCAAAGGTGTATCATTGTTTCTTGGAGCGCGTTCATTATTTGCGAGTCGACTGGAGCGACGTTGAAGGATGTGCTCATACTTTGCGTCAGCGTTTTGAGCGGCAATCAACTCCTATGCTTTTGTAGTCGCGGTGAACGCTCAAAACGCTGACGCAAAGTATGAACACATCCTTCAACGTCGCTCCAGTCGACTCGCAAATAATGAACGCGCTCCAAGAAACAATGATACACCTTTGATTGCTGCTTCAGTGGCAGCACTGAGTTTCAAATCCTCTTCTTCTTCGTCACCCATTCCAATGTCCAGTGGTTTCAGATTATCGGCCGAATGAGTAGTCATTCGAAATGACCTACACATATTTGAAAATCGTACTAAGAAATGGTCAAACTAGATTTAGTTGTCACTCAGAGGAGAAACTGAGTGCTAGTAGACTCGATATCCTGAAGATAGAGAGGGCGTGGCCGCGTGTACACTTCACTTGGACATGGCGTCCGCTGCGCTTTGGATAACATATTCCGTTTGGTACGACTGTAACCATATCTTTCTTCAGCACTAGACCGAATGACAGGTGTCTCAGTTGCACGAAAAACGCCCCTCACACCTTATATGAACAAAGTACGCAGCCACACCCCACTCAAACCCTGGATATGGAGTGCAACTGCACATCTCGTCCTGGCCCAAATGGCAATATCGCAACGATATCGTACAGAAGACTAAGAGAATCTCAGGTTTCCAACTAAGAAGCGTGTATAAGCAAAAATTGTAATACTGACTTTCGAAAATGCGCGGAATGAGAAAACTGTACCCCAAACCTGAACCACTCTTGCAAAGTTTTCAGAATTATACAATCAGGGCACGTTGTACGTTGGGAATCCTCAGCGAAGGGGTCGTGTTTGGTCGCTGAAGGAAGAAGGGAAGACGTATTTGCCCTAAACAAATGTTTTCGATTGTTGTATTTACTCGATTTTTTCTGTTTCAAGTGCACCAGATGTCCAGCCGCTCAGCAGCGCTTCTTTTGGAGGGGAATTTCGAGGGATTTCTGAAAAAGCACCGGAAGATTACTTGGAAACCAAGGGACTTGAGGAATATCGGTAGAATGGTGCATTAGGGAATGAGTGGGAGCCCGGACCATCTTTAGGAGGAAATTCAGAGGTAGTGTCACATTTGGCAAAATTTGCAATCGCAGGACATGCCCAGAATTCAATTCCTGGCCCGCTGGCCGCGTCACGTTCGCGCAACGATGAAATTGGAGCGCGAAAGACTCCTCCTTTCTGAACGCAGGACCAACGCGTTGGACCAACGAATGGTGATTTTAGTATGATATGAGCCTAACATTGGCAAGTGTTCATTAAAAGGGAGAAACATGATGAAATGGGCCGTTTTGGAAACATAGGAATTAGGCTAAGTGTTACTGCTCAGCACAGAAATCCTGTCAAGTATCAGTAACATAGGTTTAACCCTGCGCGCAGAAATGCGCGTCAGCCAGACTGGTAATACAAAAGTCACGTTGTCTGGGTTTTTTCATCATTGGGAACAAATTTTGCGATACCTAATGGAAATGGATTAGTGATGAATTGCTAAAATTAAAGGTGAATGGTTCGGGTACTTCCTAAATCTTCGAACACTTTGGGCGCTAATATAGTTGGAGGAGGGACCACTCGGCCGCGAGTTTGTATCCCTTCCCCAAGAAGGTTTAGGCTTACCTTAGAGCACAGATCACCAGAGTCACCTGCGAATAGTCCTACGGAGCAGACATAGTAGTATCAATCAAGCCTAAGTCTTGATTAGGGAAAGAGAACGGAGGCGTTTGCCGGGTGGGCCTCCCCTCTTTGGGCTGAAGCTCAAAATCGCGGAGCGAAGTGTTTTATTCGGGCTTGGTAGTTACCATTGTTTATGGGCATGCAAACTCTCACATTTGCACCTGCAGTCCGTGTCCCGAAGATGAGTTGGGCCGGGCTGGGGGGCTGGGTAATTCATCGGAAACGGCCGTCGGTGGCTGCGCTTTCGGTAGGATGTTTCTGTTTTGAGACAACTGCAGTCATTTCTTCGCGCAACACAGCACAGATAGCGGTTGTCTCAAACGGAAGTGTCCCACGGAATGCGCATCTACGTTATGGCCAAATGATGTACGCAGCGACGCCCTCCTCATTCTCAGATATGAAGTGTGACTATCCTACGTGCTCTTCTTCTTGGTTGACAAGCTTAAAACTCATCAGGTTAGTCTCACTCCTTGATAAGCAGTTTTTCGCAAGAAAGCGTGGAACTGCCATCTTCTTTTTACCCCCTGCATCCCCTCTCTCAAGTAGTACGCCCTGGACGGTGAATAAGAACTACTTGGCCGAGTAAAGTTCCACTCATTGCGCGCTATGGCGTTGGGTAGATTTTTTTGCTATATGCTATCCCCCATTTGCTCGTCATTCACGTCCCCTTCCACAAGCATTCCATCATCCTGCTAAATGTTCTCAGAACTTGGTCATCGAGTAATGATGGCATAGCTGGTATGAAAGGGGAAAAAGTAAGACTAAGAAAAAGTTTTCTCAGGCCAAGTACAACCTTGAATCCCTTCAAGCGACTAAATACGACCTTCCCTGAGAATCCCAGACATACAACGTTGTCCTGTTCCAATATAACAAATGTTAAATATTTGCTATTCCCTCATCCTATCGCAAGTCGCTCGATTCGAATTTAAACTAGCCGTGAGTTACGGTAGTATGCAGAAGACGTAATTACACGAGTGGGCCTTGACGTCACGGCATTTCCTATCATTTTCGTTGGTTGGGTGTTCTATTCTGTTTCTGAGCTGTCCTTTTCCTATTCTTCTTTTTTTATGTTTCCGGCTATAAGCCCTAGGTCGTACCTCTTGTTTTTTCGTCAAGGTATACTGGTTCGGTCTTGCTGCTTCAGTGACACTTAAAACTTAATTTGCTTTGCCCCTGCCAGTCAAGCCTTATTTTAAGTTGCAGACTATGGGAAAACATGAAAGAGGAACACCGAAGGATATTGCGAACAGGATCAAATCGAAAGGATTGCAAAAACTGAGATGGTATGTTAAAACGTTTCTCGATTCCACCTTCCTGTTTGTGGGCGTATGCTTTTGTATGCTTTTTCTTGATCTGGTTGTATACCTGAAAGCTTATTTATTGAATTCCAATAACTCAAAATGAGATAGTCTTCGCGTTTACTGTCTATTGAATCTTATTTTCAAGGTTCTGCCAAATGTGCCAGAAGCAGTGTCGTGATCAAAACGGTTTCAAATGTCATCTTACTTCGGAATCTCATCAAAGGCAGCTTTTGCTCGTCGCTGAAAACACCAACTCTTTTCTGCGACAGTTCAGCAGAGATTTCGAGGCTAATTTCATGCAGGTGATTTCTTCTCATATCTCTATTTATAAATCTCTCAAAACTGCTAGAGTGCATCCATATTTTGCGTCAAAATTTGAGCATCCATCTGCGTTTTCAATCACCAGGAAATCATGGGTATTAGCTATCGCTTGAAAACGTTGGCGGACTCAGTAAACTGAGGAAGCGCTCAAAACGCTGTCGCTAAGTATGAATGCACACTTAGGTTGTTTGTAAGACAGAGGTCAGGGCAACTACCTTTCTTGATGAGGCACCATCTACTAAGGTGAGATTTTTTGGTACAGAACCTTAAAGCCATTGAAACCTGACAACTCTCAATTGAGAGTGGATTTTGGCGCGTCTAGAGGAAAAGAACTGGTGGGTGGACCGACTCCCCTCTTCCAAACTACCGGCTCGCCGGAATGGAGCTTTGATGAGGTTTCCGAAACTCCGAGCAATCACTTGTTTTCTAAGGAAAGATTGTTTGAGGACGCGTTCATACATAGTCATATAATTGTTCTAGATTCTCAAGACATCTTTTGGAACCAAGCGAGTTCGTGCCAACGAAGTTTATCAGGAGTACATTAAAGATAAGGTACCAAGCCATTCTATCTCTGTGCTTTTCTTATAAATCGTCATCATTACCAAAGTAGCAAAGTAGTCCATGTTCGACTTTCTTGCATTCTTGACCTGATGTATTTTCATACCGTTTAAAGTCTGTGTGACTTCGCTAGGACTACCTCAGGCGTTTTCACCTTCTTCAGAGCCTGTAATGGTTAACAAACGTTGGAGACATGCTCGCCCAAGCGCTTCAATAGTTCTCAAGACCGCCAGTAAGTCACTCAGCGGTGTCAACAGGTGTCTCTAACTGCGCGTTCAATGGCACGTCTTCCGTTCATTTGATGTTAATAGATGACCTTATGTAGACATAGTAGACCTCTCCGCATGCATGGCCTTCAAAATACGTGTAGAAGCTCAATGTGCGAAGCCCGCCCCACCACTGGTCACGGCAAATCCGAATTCCCAGTCTTGAATATAATGGTCGTGCGATTGTTTCACTACTTGCTTTTCTCCATTTCGAGTAGCGAGAGAGAGATGATCAAGAAAAAGAGCTGCATCGATGGTCCGGCCACCCCTTTCCTCCCCTTCGGCACGTACAAGCGTCTTTCCACCTCGGTGTTCTACAAGGAGCATTTGGCAAAAAAAAACTGGGTTTTCCCCTTGCTTTGACTTTTTGGCTCAGTCGATAATGTTTCCGCTCTCTCAGTTATTTGGTGAAGATACTTTATTAGTCCGAGTGTTTAAAGCGCAAACTGAAAGCTCCTTTTGAACACGGAGACGTGTCCGTTTAAGCTCGTCCGATCCAGAGAGGTGCGCCTGGTGCTGCCCTCAACCGATAGCGGTATAAGGGTGATTTACTCGTGTTGTTCAAAGTTGTTTTGAGGACTGATGAGGGCGCTTGAGCTAGCAAATCTGCAAACGTGTTTCTGAGCTAATTCGGTTCTTAAACCAAAGGCAGAAAGGCCGCCGGAGAGAACGTAAGGCCGCAGTGAACATCCTCTTTGAAACTGCGCTGTTCGGGTGTTAGGGAGGGGGCATTTTTGCACTCCCGCTAGATCCTTTTCATAGTCCATGTTAACTAGGTGTCGTAAGACCTGTAAACGCTTGTGACTGTAAGAAGTCACAGCTTTCTCGTCGCTGAGCAGAGCTGACCTGTAAAAACTTCGCCTGGATAGACTTGTATTGGAGTGTGCCTTAGTCAAGGCCGAACTGCCGCTTACCGGCTTGGAAGTGAGTTAACGGCAAAGCCACTTAGTGTATGATGTTCGTGGTGTTTCGAATGTTCGATTTCATAGTTAGATTTATTGCAAGTTGCTTTTCTGTGCCTGTTCATGTTGAAACAGCTTCTGTGAGAGTACGTAAACGCCATTGTTTTCAGGGACATGTTCGACATGACGCCAGCGAGTGGTTGGGCAGGGGTCGGGACGCGTCACATGGCTTTGTAACTGGTATCTGGGAAAAAAGTGGCAAATGTATCAGATGAAGACCAGAACGCGGAGAACGAGAAGGTGATTTCGCTGTGCTTCTCCTACTGTTGTTTACTCTATCGCCCTTTTCATTTTCACGTCATTTATTGATTAACATTTCGTTTTTAATTTGTTGGTAAATTTTTGGGCACAGCTCGATTGGAGTAAGGGGCATTTCGTTAGTATGGGCGCTTTTGATCACTGCTGAGTGCCCCTTTGAAATTCCAGGGAAGCTTAAATAACATCAGGAGCTTACTTTTTGGTACAAGATCCACGTCTCATGCAAGAATATATAAGAAACTACGAAAGCGCGAAATGCTGCAAAGCCGAAGCTTCTTTATTTGGTCCTTTTTTTTCTGACTCATTTGTTGTTCTCTACGAACTAATTCTGTACTGTTGTCATTCAATAAAAGCGCCAATATTTGCCGATACGTATCATTTTTTTTAGGTTGGTACATTCAGTACATTGACCAAGAAGAGGTGCTAAGGAAAGCAGAGGAGGCCAAGCGAATGAAAGCAGAGAAGGATGATGAAGAACGACAGCAAGAGATGATCAATGCCAGTTCGGGCACAGGTATAAAATTCATCTTCAATGTTTCTTCTTCAGGCTCTCAGCGCTCTAATGATTGTTCTTGAACTAAGTTTCGGGTCCACACCACGAGTTTTTTTTATAGTTCCATCGTTTGTCCCATGAGCTTAGTAGGGAGCCCCTTATTCTCGAATTTCCTTTAGATTCCTTATAGTTTTGTTAGCGGCGAATAGATGGCTACCATTCCAGAGCGTTAGAACAGCAGGGCGAAGTATATGAGCCTCAAGCAACCGAACTCATAAGATCTGATGAAAATGAGAAGATCCACGCGTTGAATCTGAATCTGGATGATAGGAAAACCAGACATAAGAGTGAGGCATGCATGTCGTTGTTTCAGCTTGCTTCCTTTACTTTCTAACTTTTTTGGTTTTGTTTAACTTGTCGTTGAGTTGTTTAGGTTAAATTGGGTTTCTCGGTGCTATTACAGACGAACATGGAGATTTTTGCTGTACACACATGAACAACCGTTTTTCCGAAGAATTCGCTCTGAGCTTTACTTCGCCCAATCCTTCAATCTCACCAGGAAAGTCAGACCGAGGCTCAGCCTGCACCATCCTTACTCAATGAGCTGCTGGCACATCCGTGCACCGTCTTGGGACAGTAACTCAAATCTAAGCTTCAGATTTAGCCCAACGCATTCTCTGGACGGCGTTTATGCGAGGTCCTTATCCCGCGTGTCGTCTTCACATGCGCTATCGCATGATAAAACGTGAGAAGTCGTGCTTACATTATGTATGGAGTCATGCTGGAAACGTGTAGTAGAGCGCACGGATACGAGTAGCGGTTTCTTAGGCGAGACGTCGTAGGGTCGATTCCGGGGCAGGTCGCTTTTTTTGCATTTGTCCAAGAACATAGCCGACAAAGCTTCTAACATCTCTGCTCGCCTGCACTACCTTATAAGGGAACCTGCGACCAGTTTTTTTTAAGTGTAGACTCATTGTGGCCTGAAGTGCTTCTGGCTGTGTACCGCCCGTAATAGACACGTGTCAGCGGAGTGTTTTTTGTGCAATGAAATACCATCATATTCATGTTCAGCGGGTTAAATTACCCCCAGGGACAAGTTTCTAACCGAATCTGATTTTTCGACCTCACTTGGAAAATGTGGGCTAATTCCATGGAATAGCAGCAGATTGGAGCTCACCTACCATCGATGACTGGTCTCGGAATGGGATTTCCTCCCGATAGTCAAGAAAATGATGCAGACGGCACAAATAAGTAAGCCAGGTACTGTTGTTTACAAAAAGACATGACTGAAGAGTTATTTCAGTTCGAAGCCCAGTCCATCACCGAGTATGCTAGCCATATGGTATCGTGTTGCTGTAGCTATCAGTCAGCCAATGACTATCCTATACCCATTTTTTTTGAAAGTTCAGCCAGAACCTCACATTTCGCTGGGTCTCGTCTCTAGGGTTTATTTGACCCCCTGAATACGAATATGATACCTATTTTGCGCGAGGAGCGCTGTGAGTCGCGCTACAGGTGCCAACGCTTCGGCGCCAGCGCGCCCGGAAGAAGAAAAAGTGAAGAAAAACCTCTCTAACTCCGCTCAGAGAATCGTTCCGCAAATTTTGAAGATAGTTTTGAGTTCACCGTCTCAAGACGGGTACAACGATATGCATCTCATTGCAAATGGCCAGGCTGACCTGTTGACCTTTCCTGGTCAGAAAGGAATTCTCCATCATTCTGACGTCCTGCAGGGCACGTCGGTGTCCCCACCCAGCGAGGGAGGACAACTCGAAACAAGGGGTATACAGTCTGTAAAAATGTTTTCGATGCACTGGCTTTCCCATTTTATTTTTCAGAACTGGGAGAAAGAAAACAGGAGAGTTTCGGATTCCTCCAAGAACCTGAAGTTTCGAGGTTAAGTATCCAGAACCTGGGAAGTTGTCAGGTAATATGGGGGGAGGGCGGTACCTGAGGTGGAAAGTACGAGGGGGTAATATTTTGCAAGTTTTTCCCGACGGTAAACGTGCCCTGCGCACAGTGACCAATTTTGAATGCTTTAGTGCTTTTTAGCGGAACGCCCCACCTTGTTAGACTAACGCCTATATGACTTTTTTATTGCCTTGAACTTTAAAAAAATAATATTTGCCGACTGGTCACCTCTTTGTCATGGGAGTGTTGAAGCTGATCTAACCTTCTACATCTCTTTGTTGCTCTTTTGCAGGATTTGAAGCGACCTTATTCACCGGGGTGTCAGTCTTTGACCAGATAAAAACGAAGAAAGAAGAGCCAGCAAGTGATGAAGAAAGGCCTACAACAAGCCGACGAGATCGAAGCAGAGACAGGGAAGAAAGGCGCGATCGACGAGATCGCGATGCGAAGAAGGAGCACAGGAGTCGTAGTCGAAGTCGTGACAAGGAAAGAGATCGTCGAGATCGTGACATGAAGAGAGAGCATAGAAGTCGTAGCAGAAGCCGTGAGAGGGAGCGAGATCGACACACGGGAAGTGCGTTTTATTATTTGTTCTAATTAGTGACTAATTTACATGAGGGAGCTGTGCGGCTTAGGGGGATCATTGCGCTTTCGAAAAATTGTTTTGCTAATTCCTGTCAAACTAAAGTCAGAACCTGTTGAAACTTGTAGTCTTTTGTCAGTAGTCGAAGATCCTAGCATTGCATACCTGAACAGTTATATATAGGTCTCTAGGAGACATCGGGAGAAAACGACGGAAACCAACAAAAGCCCACCAAGCCGAACAGCAGTTACAGAATTTTCTTTATCTACTCGTTTCTAGCTTCTGGTGGTAAGCAGCGGCCGTCCTCATCCTCCAAAAAGGACGAAAAGCCGAAGAAGTCGGCGCTGGATGAGATTCGAGAGCAACAGGAACGGTTCAAAGAGAAGAAGAATAGGAAGGATTACTGGCTCCATGAGGGTATTATTGTCAAAGTGAGTTTGTCTTCAATTTTACTTAATTGTTTAC